AAACATAAAGCTAAGCTATTTATTCATGTGATTTAATAACCACAATTTATGAGTTAGTAAAATTAACCAACTATTTAATAACAGGATGTGAAGTCATTTAATAATCTGGTCAAAAATTAAGTTAAAAGGCCTGCATTTTAAGAAAATCATCACTTTTTTTTAAGCTTTTGGCAAATAAAAAAGCTCATCTTTTACATATATTATCATTCTAATACCTCTTATATAATTAGATCAGAACCTAAAAAAAAATCAATTTTCACTTTATAATTTTTTCACTATGTTTTACCAAACATTCTCAGGAAAATCATGTATCCATTTACTGGCTGACCATTGTTGGCTTGTTTCATGTGCCATGTACTTTATATGGTTTTAGTGAAATTGAACTTTCTTTTTTTACCTGTCCTGTCAACTAGAACTCTAATTGTCAAAATGCAATTCATGAAAAAGTGTGATTAGCAGAGATATCCTAAAGGCCTAAGATATTTACTACTGGAAGTGAATTTTCTGAGTTTGAGAATCATAGGATTCAATTTTACCTTGTTTTCTCAAATAAGAAATAGGACTTTCCCATATCCCTATAGATGATCTATAGGTGTTAACTGTGATTCCAACTCATATATATGATTTTTAAAACTTTTTATTAAAATATTTCTCATATTTCCCTCCTTGACTGAAGAGAAGGTCTTTATCCTTTTGAAAATAAAAAGTCAGAAATACAGAAGAAACTAGTGTTAGTTTTTGTATTAAGTAAATGCAAATAGGATGGCTAATATTTTGGAATATTAAGCAAAATGCTTAACCTTTCCCCATATAAAATCCATCCAAAGATTATCAACATAGACAAAATCTAATTTTTATGTTAAATATCTTCAAATTTTTGAGAATTAATGACTTAATTAATCAAGTCTTTATTCACTCCAAATATAGCTAAAAATTTCCCTGTAAAGGATTTAAGAAATTAAGAATCTGAATCTCATCTTTACTATAATACATTGTACTAAAGTATATTAAAGTGGATACTTCATATGTTATTGTCCTCATAGTGCTTACTTTATAGAGTGGAAGAAGTAATGATAATGAACAATGACTGTAATAAATAAATAGATTATCAGTTAGAGGGTGGTTATGGCTAAGGAAAAAAGAGAAAAGTATAGCCAAATACAATGGAAAGTACAGATGGGCAGACTATTGTATTAAAACCATGGAGTATCACTGAGAAGGTGACATTTTAGCAGCTAGGTTGAAGGTGAGAGATTTAGGGAAAAGCACTGCAGGCAGAGAAAATAGCTAGAGCATACTTTCTAAGGTGGGAGCGAGCTTCGGCTGCTTGAGACCTTTTGCAGGGTTTTCAGCAGGAGAATGGCATGTGCCAGGTGTGTTCAGTGTTTTATAGGTACTGACCTAGTTACTCCCCCAAATAACCTCAGGAAACCAGTGTCATTTTTTATTTTAGTGAGTGATAAAACTGAAGCACAAGCACAAGGGAAGTCAGGTAAGCTGTTCAAGTTCACACAATTAGGAAATGGTAGAATTGGGATCTAAATTTTGGCAGTCTGATTCCAGAGGTAAACTCTTATATAATAAGAGCTCTAGATACCACTTGAACAGGACACACACATATATGCACAGTTGTGCACACACACACATGCACTCACACTAGCATGTATGCACATACACCTTACACTTACATATGGTAGTTATGAACACATACACACAAAGGTGGAAATGGAGCTGAGGCCAGAAGAGGACAGCTAGTTACCCACACTATATTTATCCCTCCTTGTTTTATTCTCTCTCGTATATTTTATTTATTAACCTTTAAATCTAAATTTTTATTTAAATAAAAGATATTCAAATTGAGAATATCTTGAGTTATTTTCAAAACAGCAAAATCAAATTAAAAATTCTTAATGTATAAAATAAGTATCATGAAAATATATACAATTTTGCCAATTTATTTTAAAGAGAACAAAGTGGAAACACTCTCTTTGAAATGAAACAATGTGCCCTAAGAAATTTTTATGAGTCTATAGAAAAAAAGTAAGAATATTTTCTTGCTAAAAATCCAGAAAATATATAGCAAGATGTCATTTCAACTAATTACTTGAAAGAATTTTGAAATCAATAGAAAGGCATCATAAATCATGATTTATGATTCATATCTTCAGCAAATGAAGATAAATGTGTCATTAGAATTTTTTCTGCATTAATTATCTTGGTCCTAATATATATATACTATATTACATTCCTATGTATATTATTATCACTATAGGCTTTTAAAAATACTTTAAAATATTGATTGCTATAGGTAAGTTCACATTAATTCTAATTCATAGATTAATTCAATATACCAATTTATACAATGAAAATAAATACTGATGCCTGAAATATATTATTCCTCAAAACATATAACAAATTCTGCAGGAACTAATACTTTGAATTCCTCTATGCTAGGGTCATGAGTACCACTTTTAGTAAAGCTAGTATTCTACAAACATTTATTAAATTAAACATCAATTTAAAAAGTAATTAAATCCAATTTATCAGAATAAAAATTTTCAGAGTCTACCTAATTCTTAAAGAGGACATTGTTGAAAAAAATACTTTCTTAACATTGTAATGAAAAAAAATAATGTATCCTTCCTCCAAATAGTATAAAATCCATGATGATTTTATATGGCTATATATTTTAAAATACACTACAGTTTCATAACTGCCATGTATATCCAGCAAGAATAATAGAAAAAGAAACATTTCCCCAAAAGGGTCATAACTACCAAGAAATTCTGGGCAAGAAATTCTGTACAAGAAATTCCATGTATCAGACACAGAAATAAGGTATAGTAAAGCAATGACAAATAATACTTCATATCACATCAGGGCCAACATGCTTTATACAAAATCACTTTATTTCCTTTATATTTTCAGCTACTATTCTTGCCTTTTGCCCATTCAAATTGCTGAAACCAAATTCCATGGAGTACTTCTGACACTTTCAAAATCTAGGTTTCTTTATACCAACCATCCACACACACAGAAATAATAATAAATAAAACACGATATTTTCTGCATTTTCCTTCTTTATGCTTAAGGAAATCCAAGAAAATTACCCTGTAGAGATTTATTTTCCACATTAACTCCTGCACAATTTCACTTGACATAGCTAAAAGTCAAAGTGAGCTTAAAGACAGAAGAATAGCTGCATTATTGAATAATGAAAATTATCTCTCATCATTTCATAAACTTTATATTATATGTTATTTTTTGAGAAAACTATGATTTTTTATTCGCTGATTTAAAAATTCAGTGATAAGTAAAAATCTGCCAAAGGGAATAAAATTTACATGGTTATATAGAGAAAGAAATATTGCTTAACATGAAGTGAGAAAGGCTGGGTGCGGTGGCTCATGCCTGTCATCCTAGCACTCTGGGAGACGGAGGCGGGTGGATCATTTGAGCTCAGGAGTTTGAGACCAGCCTGAGCAAGAGGGAGACCCCATCTCTACCAAAAAAAATAGAAAAAATTAGTCAGGCATGGTGGTGCATGCCTGTAGTCCCAGCTACTCAGGAAGTTGAGGCAAAAAAAAAAAAAAAAAGGGAAAAGAAAAAGAAAAAAATGAAGTGAGAAACAAGGTTCAGATGAGGGCTGTTTAACAGATGAAAGAGAATGTGTTTCCTGAACACCTAAACAATTTACAGTAAGTGTGAAATGGTTCATGAATATGTTTTGAAATTTTATTTTTATTTTTGAGTCATTTCTAATTACCAAACTCAAGGTTCACTGAACATTATTAGGTTTCAAGATTAGTTTCTAAGAAGAAAAAAATTAAACATTTACATTTGTTTGATATGTGTATACATTTTTAAAGATGAGTATTTTTCACATCCTCCCTTCTTGAGAAAAACAATCATAGCTATTTATATAGAAGAGCTAACTACTGAGATCCCAGTCACTGTTCAGGAAGAAATGTAGCAGGTTGCATGACACTTGTCAAGTGAAACTTCATTTTATGATCACTTCTTGATGTGTCAGCTAGGCTAGGCTACAGTTTCAGTTATTTAATCAAATACTAATCTAGATGTTGCTTGAAGATATTTTGAGGATGTGATTAAACCCCATAATCAATTGACTTTCTGTAAAAGAGATTATCCCAGATAATCTGAGTGAGCTTGATTCCACCAGTTGGAAGTTTTTAAAAGCAGAATTGAGGCTTCCTTGAGAGAAGAAATCCTACCAGTGCATAGCAGTTTCAGGTCCTAAGGAGAGTTTTAGCCTGCCCTTCTTCCTGGGCTGCCCTTCAGATTTCAAACTTGCCTAGGCAGCCCCCACAATCATGTAAATCAATTCGTCACAATAAATCTCTTACTATGTGTCTCTTATTGGCTCTACTTATCTGGTTGAACACTGGCTGCTACAATTCCAAATTGGATAAAAGCAGTAGTAATAAAAGAGGGAAGGAAGTGGCCATGATTTGGGAGCACCCCACCCCTAAGCTGTGTCTACATGTGGCAAAGACTCAAGCCAGACAAACACATACATCTATATGCATATAAATACACATACACAATCTCACACCAAACAGTGTTCCCAGTCCTCTTGCTCTATGTTTAACAGACCTGAAATTTTTGACAGATTTAATTAATCAAAGGCTTCAAGGCTAGGTAACTATGTAACAGGAGGCTTAACAGCACATTCTAAGTACTAAAGTAATTTGTAGAAGGAAGTAGCCATGCCACATTACTTACACTAAAGACATTTCACACTTTGATACAGAAAAACAATTATTAGAAAACAAAATATTTCACCTAAAAGATGACATATGTTGCTTGTTCAACCAAAAGAAAAGTGGTTTAACTTTTGTAACACTGGTCAAATAATCCCATCACACTGACACAACCACATACTGTATGTTTTTCAAACTCCTAAACAATAATTTGTTAAAAACAAGCTGTATTTAAAGAAATTAATTTTAAACAGATTCCTTGCTTCCCTTCCTTACCTGGACTGCATATCTTGTTGGGTTTTGGCCTGACTGGCTTCCGGCTGAGAAGTGTGAGTGACTCGCTGCTGAAGTTCCACCAGGGACTGGTAGTACTGTTGTTGATGGTGCTGTTGCTGCTTGTAGCGAGACAAACTGAAAAACAGCCCTAGAATGGCTTTTAAGTTTCCATTTCTTATTTCTGTATCAAACGGAAAATACAAAATATGTATAACATAAATTGAATGTTCTTTTTAACAAATGAAATCTTAGATGCAGCCCTCTTAAAACTATCAAGATAGAAACACAACTTGATTCTCTCAAAGATCCAAACAACTCTGAATTTCTGAAACATGCTAACATTTTCAAAGAGCTTGGAATTTCAGGGACAGAAGCAAAGCACAGAGGGTAGAGAAAGAAAAACCTCACTCAAAAGAGAGATTCTTTGCTGACCCTGAACTATAGTTTTTCTAGAGCTAGCTTCTTGAAAATAGATAAGCACTCTCTCTCGTGCTAATCATTTGATTGAGCACACAGCTTCCCTCACAAATACACACAGCTGTTACCAGTGGCTATGAACTAGAGAAAGAAAACCATTTAAATGCTGGTTGTCTTGCATTCATAAATATTGATGGTGTGGGTGCATATAATAATACTAACTGGATTTATAACAAGCAACATTCCTTCTAAATCACTTACTCACCAATATATTTATACATATATATGTATATATCTTCCAAATATCCATATCTATATATCTATATATATATATATATCTCTTCCAAAGAGCACATTAGATCAATGTTTAGTGTTCCAACTCTTGTATTTTTAATTTATGATATATAAATGAAGATAAGTTTATGTGATGTTAAATAACATAATTGAATAAATGTAAGTAGAAATCCTTGTTCTAACATATGGAGTTCCAATGTAAGTTTTTCAAGTATTGGCTAAAAATAAATTCTCAAAGTACTACATGATCCCACCTTTCTCTCCTGTAGTTATAACTTAAAAATTAGGACGAGAAGGAAGTAAAGCTTGAAATGAAGCTCCACACCTTGTAATCATATTTTAAATGCAACTTGCTGTTGACAATAAAATACAGCCTCCTCTGAGATCAAGGTTTTATGTCCCCTTTTGGAGTTCAGGAAAATTAACAAACTATTTGGATTTCTTGTTCTCTGATGGCTTATCATGTAACCCAAACTATGCAGAATTATTCATATTAAAAGAACCTCTCATTTTTTCTCTTTTCCCCCTGGACCTTGCTCACAGTTTCTGTAATATAGAAAAGTTGACTTGAACAATCTGAAACTATGGGGAGAAAGTACAAATTTTCTCTCCTGTAAACCTGAATGATCTTGTTTCAAGAGTTTTAAAATTTCTAATTTCATTATTATGTATGTTTAATGAATTTAGAAAATCCTTTTGATGTGCATTCATATATTTTTAAAAGATGACTGAAAACCAGTTAGCTTATATTAAAAAGGTTGCTATGTGAGAAGAAAAAGACATAAAATGAACAAATGATAGTATATCTACCTTGCCTTTAACCATTTAAAAGCAACATATTTATCTTGGGGAATTTTACTCAAATGTTATTCTAAGTAACAGAACTACCAACTAGGTTTGTACCTAAGATTTTTGGCCATTAAATGTATATTTTAATAATACATCATAGCACATAAATATAAAAGAAATTTAAACATCATTTAGTTTTCTTAAGTGTGGCACATTTTATCTTATAGATGGCAAGTTTTTGCAAACTTTTGGCACTTTTATATGTGAAAGAAAAAGAGGCTCAGAAAAAAAAATAACAAAACTAGTTCAATATTTTTTCATTTTGCTATATTTCAATTTTAATGATTTTTCAAAACTAATGGTTTAAAACCTTTATATATAATGATTAATATTATTAGTACTAGTTATTTAAGAATTCATAGTGACTTATTTAAACTTACCAAATATTTTGACTATCACTTGATTATATTATAGAAATGTTATTGGTAAAATATTTGAGCAATAATTGTACTATTTGACCTGTATTTATGTCCATCTAATATTTATCTAATCATCCACTCATCTACTTAAGAATCTAAAAATACTATACACTACTAATAACATGAAGATGTTTCATTTATTCACTGCCTCTCATATAATTGCTCATGAAAAGAACAGTTTGACAAAATATAGAAAATATTTAAATAATTAAAGTATACATTAATAATCATATTTATGTTTATTATTTTGAAAACATTATCAATATCCTCATTATAGCTCCTTTATTGTATTAAGGAGCTATATACTCCAACATTGTATTTCTTAGGTTATGAAAAACTTTAGAAACATTGATACCATTTGTGACAATTCTGTTTTTCTTACCTTCAGCAGATAGACCTTGAACATTTACTCCTCTGGCTGCTAGAAAACTAAGGCAGACGTCAACATTTTCAATCTGCAACACGAAAAGCAGTGAAAAAGAGACTTAGAGGATTGTTTTTATATAGATATATGGGCTAGAATGAAACCAGAAAGAAAGATAAAGAACGAATACTTTACATTCATTTCATACTAGAAGTTTTTACCAGAGTTTTAACGAGAATTATTTTGGCTAATTGCAGGATGAATATAAAGCTTTCATTGTCCAGTTTGGTACTTACAAACAATTCATAAAGGCCTGATCAAGAATGGCATTCTTGCAGATTAGCAACCCACCTACTTAACATAAAACTGGATTTTTTGCTTTACAAATAAATCTCAATGAAAGCCTCCATACAGGATGAGATTGTTGCATGCATGAGTCTTAGAATGCTAGGACGTGGATAACTGAGATTCAAGGAGTAATATTTGTTAAGTATGCCAAAAGATAGACAGAGAAAGAGTTGATGAAACATGAAAAAAATGAAGTATATTTTCAACTAGACCATAGCAAATCTTTACTTTAAAAATTGTATTTCTATTTCTAGATTTAAGTCATCCTCTGATTAAATATAGATATTGCCTTTGCTATTTTTGAAGGGTGATGCTTATGCATTTCAAATAGTTGGTTTCAATATGACTATCAGCTTGTAAACATTTAGAGTGAGAAGCAAAAAACCAAATGACTAATTTATGTTAATTAAGAGGTTGATCTCAACATTGGTCATGGCATTTTATGACAGTTATATAGCTAAGACTTTGGTAAGATTATAGAAAGCTAGAAAGTTCCAATTCTTTTTGAGTCATCTCCTTGGGTATTAGAGTATTCTATAAATCTGAAAATTCTAATTACATGAGAGATTTAAAGTTAATAACTTAGCGAGGTATTATTTTCTGTCTTATTAAAGCCTCATCAAAAGTTACTCCTGAGGACACACAAAGCTCAAATGTCCTCTCTTGCTTACCATTATAGAAGGTCAAAATGTATCTTAAAGAAAATAAAAATAAAAAATAGATTCAAGACTCTGTCCTTATAAAATACACAAACTATTTACATTCCTTTTTAAATGTAATTTTGTGCAAAAATTATATTTAAATAATAATCCAATGAGATGTTCTTTGCTTAAAAATGACCGCAGCCAAGCAGAAAACATTTGCTTTGAGGAAAATGATTTTTATATTAATTCACTTCAAAGTAAGTTTTATTGAAATTATGGTACTGAAAAAAACAAAAAAAGAATAGAGCTGAACATGCTGAATATAAATGACCTAATGAGTCTTGTGGTTCTGCCCATCAGCATCTGAATATCTAATCAGGTTATGGTGCTGAAGTGCACCTGAAATTCTTTCCTTTCTACAAATTTAAATTTGCTACTAAGAAATAAAATTATATAAGAATAAAATAAGAAATGAGTCAAACTGGATTTTCTGGTGTGTCCATCTAAAGCATTTTTTAAATTTATTTCTTTCATATTCATTGAAAATGAATAAAAGAAACACTCCAAATAATTATTATGGCCTAAACTTTAAAAAAGGAATTGGATGGGATATCATTAAATGTTTTCACTAAGAGTCCCAATGTTATTAATTTCATAGCAATTCTATACATTTTACAGAAAGGAGGAAGATTTCTGACTCAAACATGTAATTTGTTGCAAAATGTTAACAGGATATTATTGCCTAAAGTTTAATTACTTATATTACTAAAGAACAGTTTAGTTTACTAAAACATCCAGAAAAGGTGAGTAAATGGAGTCTGTAACATAGTTTGTAAAATAGTTTTTAGACTACCATTTAACCAGCATATAAAATAAACTGATGCCTAGATTGGGTGTTAGAGACATAGAACTCTCTCTCAACATGGGAAATCAGAAAGGAAAAATAAAAGGATTCTAATAAAAGAAAGAAAAAAATGTTGAAAACATACTCTTTATTCTTTTCAAGTCTACTTATCCGGAGCATTCAACGTTTTATAATGTTCCCTTATAATCATTCATGGTAAGCACCAACAATTTACAATAGTTAATTCAGTCCCTCATTATTACTAATTAGTATCTAAGTAACAGCAACAGAATAAATACTTAAATACATAGTTTTCAATATCACTATTAAAGGATAGTTTATTAGAGCATACTTACTTCAACAATATTTGTTTATTGACAAAAATTAATTTTCCAACAGGGTAGTAACATAATAAACATAAGAAAATACTATCTTTTTCTTACTCAATTCCAGTCCTTCTATAAATTGAGTCACACCTACTAGTACATACTATGCTATGCTTTTTACAGAGCAAAACAACTTATAGTAAAAAGAAATAGCTTTGAGAGATCTCACTAAATACCAAAGTTTCCTCACTAGAGACATACTTTAAAATAATTTGAGTGTTTTTTTTACTATAAAATAATATACTTTGTAAATGGTAATTTTTTATTTCAATAAGTTCTAGAGATTATTTGTCACAATAATCTTCTTTTCCCCATAAATTGCTCTTAAACATTTCCAAGTCAACTAGACCTACTATAAACAAGGTTTTCATTACCTATTTTTCATATTCAACCTTGTTTTTGAACTAAAAACCTTTCAACTTTTTTGGCAACTTACAAATAGATGAAAGTGATTTTGCCATCAAAATGAGTCAAGTAATTGAAATCAGTTTTATTTTTCTTGAATATTATTTGAATCATATATCAAACAAGTAATCAACATTCAAATCATCTGTTAACTCTAATAATTTGGGTCAAATTTTAATTAGAATATCTTCATGTACCTTAATAAAGTATTTTCTAAAATGTTGACTGTGACCCATAGCAAGAAATACACTGAACAGCACAATAATACGTATACATAAATATAATGGAAAGAAAAATGTATGAAATAATACTTAACCTTACTATAAATTTGGGATATTATGATGCTTTCTACTACACTATATTGTTTGCTATTTAATCTATTTAATTGTTGGTTAAAATCTACTAGGCAGATTTCAGGATCCATTAATGGTTGTTAATCCACAATTTGAAAAACACGTCCCTAAAGAAGGTCAGAGCATTGCCATGTCTACATTGCCTTTTTTGGGGGGGTAGGGAGGGGCACTTTATTCAATGACTTAAAAGAAAGTAGAAACTCATTCTCAGAAGCAAGGTTTCTGGAAGGTTTTCACTAAATCAGTTACCTGACAAAGCAGAAAACAATGTTCAAAATACTGATTATGTTTTATGTTACCACACAGTTAATTCTTAGGATATCCTTTTATAAATTTAGTGTCCCTCTAATATTTGAAAAAAATATTTTTACCTCTTCTTTTCAGTCCCCTTTAATTTGTCTAGGCACACAAATTATTAAAGGAAAGACAATGAGTTGAAATTTGAGTCAACTTTTGATAAGCAACCAGTTATTTGACCAAATTTAAACTATTTCAAAATTACTAGGTTATTTGACAAATGCAATCTTAGTCTTTCTCTCTCTTGATTCCTATCTGTTTTTCGGCATATAGTGATGCCTTTTAAGTTTTCATGGCTTTATGTATTTATTTACTCAGGTACAGTTTTGATTTTATGATGAAATGGGTTTCTTGAGACTTTAAACCTCTGGAAGATAAGAATTATGTTTTGGTTCGAAACCAGCCTGAGCAAGAGCGAGACCCCGTCTCTACTATAAATAGAAAGAAATTAATTGGCCAACTAATATATATATACAAAAAATTAGCCGGGCATGGTGGCGAATGCCTGTAGTCCCAGCTACTTGGGAGGCTGAGGCAGGAGGATCGCTTAAGCCCAGGAGTTTGAGGTTGCTGTGAGCTAGACTGACGCCATGGCACTCACTCTAGCCTGGGCAATAAAGTGAGACTCTGTCTCAAAAAAAAAAAAAAAAAAAAAGAATTATGTTTTGTCTCTTGCATAATTTCAGCAAAATAGCATGGTATTTGGTATCTGATACATGCTCAGTGTATACTTGAGGAAAAATGGAGAAAAGTTTTGTACTTATAGAAGAAGTGAGTATAGGAAAAACAACAACAAACTAGAGATCATTGAATCCAGAGACTACATGTTGGATTCTCACTGGGATTTTAAAAAATACACTAATTCCCTATGCCTCACCCCAGAAAATACAAATCAAAAAGTCTATGGTTTGGAGCTAGACATCAGTTTGTTTTTAAATGGAAGCTCCTATCTAATCTTAGTCTAAACTCCTCTTTACAGATTAAGAAACTGACCACCAGAGAAGTTCTCATAAAGATGAGCAAAAGAAGCGAGACAAAAGAGTACACACCAAGTGATGCCCAATTTATATGAAAGTCAAGATAAAAAAAACACTAAACATGAAAGTAGAAATTATAATAATAGTAAACGTTTTAGGAGTATAGCCTAGAAAGGGGCACAAGGGAAATAGGCATGCTGGAAGTGTTCTTTGTTTTGATCTGAGCAGTAATTACACAGGTGTATACATATAAAAATATCAGTCAGCTGTGTACTTAAAATTAGAGTACTCCATCCAATTTCTATGTATGTTTTACCTTAATTTCTACTATAATACTTTATACACCCTTTTATTTTATTTTTTTTCCTTTTTAATTTTCTTATTTTAGTGCATTATGGGGGTACAAATGTTAAGGTTACTTATATTGCCCATGCCCCACTCCCCCCTCAAGTTATACACCTTTTTACATATGGCACAATTTAAAAATAATAAGAAATTATTGATCTCTTGTTTTGTTGAAAATAGACTCTAGGCATTAAAGATAAAGGTACAGAACCCTGTTAGGTGGCTGCTGCATGTTATTAAAGTGAAAGCTGATGGTGTTTTAGACAAGGGTAATGGCAGTAAAGATGATGGGAAATGGTCAGATACTGGATATATTGTGCAGGGATTTCATGGGAAAATACAGCATTTAAGAGAAAGAGAAGAGTCAAGAATGACATTATGCCGGGCGCGGTGGCTCACGCCTGTAATCCTAGCTCTTGGGAGGCCGAGGCGGGCGGATTGCTCAAGGTCAGGAGTTCAAAACCAGCCTGAGTAAGAGCGAGACCCCGTCTC